TTAATCTGTGAAAAAGGCCAGATGTTACTCGAATTGTCCTTCATTCTGCTGTGAAAATAATACCAGATGAAGCTTCAGTATGCTAGGTCACAGCCCATTAGAGATAGAAAAAACAGTTGTCCATTGGGATACATGCTATAACGAAAATCATCAAGCGTGTGCGTTGACCTTTCTGACTTTGGCAGGGGGGGAAGACTTTTCAATCCCACCGCTGCGACCAGTATAACGAAAGATCAAAGATACCTGGGGCAGGGGGGAACAACGAATCCCACCACTGACACCAGTGTACAATAATTAGCAGCTGACCATAGGTTAATTATATCAATGAGCGATGTTTTTGGTAGATATGACTGCCACCACCTCAGCTTTATTGGCATGAGGAACCAAAGGTGTGAGTGCGTTGTAGGTAAATTGTGTTTGCCCTTGGTTCTTCTGTAACTGCTTCTTCACTGGCTGACTGGACTTAGTTCTGAGGAGATTGACAGATTGAAGCTGACACCAGTTAACAGTGAACTAGAAAAGGTTTATTGAACTTTAAACAAATATCTACTCATGGAATGAGTGGTACAGAAGCGTATTTCAGTTGTAGAGGCTTGGTATATTTAAACAATTAGTTTCACTGACAGTAAAGCTTTTAAAACTGTGAGTTCCCTTAAACACACTGTTCTATTCTTAGAAACAGTATCTACTGGAGAACAGACCCCTATCTGTCTCCCACACCGGGCAATAAGCTCTCTTATACTTTCCCTAGGCATAAGAAGACAAGTCTTTCTTTTACTGGCCCTCTCAACACAGCAAAACCCTAGCTCTTGTCTCAATTTTATTCCCTATCCTTAAGGCTCACTTTAAAGCTTTCTTTCCCTGTCAGAACTCTAACTAGCTTCCTCTCCTAAAAATCCCTTCCTTCTGTGTCTGATGTCAAGACACTTCTCCCTCTGTCAAAAGCTGACAGCCTCTTTCCCTCTCTCAACCGACTCCTCCCCTAATTGCTCTACCCAATCAGGAGTCGGCTTGACTCCTCCTCCTGCTTCTGCCTGTCTTTCAAGATGACAGCTACTGATACTCAGGCTTCGGCCTGGTCGCCTTAAAGGTAGATTTCACTACACATGCCTTCTCCAGAAAATGTTGCCACTTGCTGCCAGTGGAAAGCACAATGGGAAGACGTTGCCTTTGACGATTGTTCAGAAGCTTCCCTTAGTCGCTTCTGAACAATCGGCAGCCTGATTGCTAACAGGAGCGGAATACAGGGGAAAACACAGTCCCCCTGTTGTGCCAACTCCATTGGCTGCCGGTTTGCTACTGAACACAATCGAAAGTGTTGGCTTTGGCCTATAAGGCCCTGAACAGTCCTAGCCCAACTTACCTGTCCAAATGCATCTCCCTCTATGAGCCATCACGGAAGTTAAGATCTTCTGGGGACGCTCTGTTCTTGGTCCCACCACCTTTGCAAGCGTGGCTGGTGGGGACGTGAGCCTGGGCCTTCTCAGTGGTGGTCCCTCGGCTGTGGAACTTTCTCCCTAGTGGGATTAGATTGGCCTCCCTGTCTTTGGGAGCAGGCATTTGGTCTAGCATAATTATCTGTGCAATAGTTGGAATTGGCTTTGAATCGATAAATATGATTATCTGGCTTTGGATATATGCACAATAGTTGTCTAATGTTTACAAATGTTGTTTTAAATTGTTTAATTGCTTTTAAATGGCCCCGGCCCAAATTACCTGTTCAAACGCATCTCCCTCTATAGCAAACATTCAGTGCCTGGATACAATACATAAACATTAAAAAAATGTATCTAAATATTAAAATACACCATTTAAAATAATACAATTTAAAGCCGTCCTAGCCATCCACATCAAATCCAATTGGCCCTGTCATCTTTCCCATTGTCGCTTCATTGCCCTGTCCCGAAAGCTTGGTCCCACAACCAAGTTTTTACCATCCTTCTAAAGGACAGGAGGGAGGGGGCCAACCTGATCTCACAAGGAAGGGAGTTCCATAGTCGGAGCAATCACCGAGAAAGCCCTGTCTCTTGTCCCCACCAATTGCGCCTGTGACAATGGCGGGACGAAAAGCAGGGCCTCCCCGGAGGATCTTAATCTCCGCGATGGTACATAGAGAGTAAATCCAGCCCCATCCTAATGTCCAACATATGCATATGTGTAGCAAGGGAGCCAGTGTGTCAAGTTATGCACAATAAATATCAATTACAAACAGATTTTGATTCATTAGACAGGGAGCTGTTTCTTATCAGAGTCTGAGTGCTGGCAGGGTAGCAGTCAGCGTGGAAAAAGCCAACCCTCGTTGTAAAGTCCAAATTGAAATTTCCCTTCAAAAGCCCCTCCTTGAATCACGACATGAATCATGGCCTGAATCCAAATTCCTATATTTCATTACTACATTTTAAGTTAAGCTGAACTGATCCTGTTTAATTGCTCTATTTCTATGCTATTATTCCTATGCCGCTATACGTTTCTATCCGCCTTATTGACCAACCTATCCTTTAACGAGTTTCACATATTGCTCCCCTTCCTCCCCTCCAAAAATGAATCTGTTGTTGCTTTTGATGCTTATTTATGCTGTTTTTATGCTACTTTAATATGTTATTGTTCTGTTTTTAATTGTATGTTGCCTTGGGCTTGGCCCCATGTAAGCCGCCCCGAGTCCCTTCGGGGAGATGGAGGGGGGTAGAAAAATAAAGTTGTTGTTGTTGTTGTTGTTGTTCTTCTTCCTCTTCTTCTTCTTCTTCTTCTTCTTCTTCTTCTTCTTCCCTGCTTCTGACATAGAAATTGTTTCATTTAGTAGGAGAGAAATCATTAATTGTCTTGTTTACTTCTGCAGCTGGCCAGCTGTTGGGAGTGTTTTCAGGGTGTGTTAGAACATGATTGATGGCCCTTGTGGTCTATTCCAACTCTAAGATTCTACTAAGTAAGACAATGCCAAACTGGCCCAGACTGGTCCCTCCTTCCTCATCACAATGTATTCTGCAGTTTCTAAAGACTGGGCAATCCTATTTGGATTTGAAAGAGGGCAAATGGCTGTACTTGTTTGACTTTGTCCCATGTATTCAATTTGATTTTCATCTCTCCAGACCACCTAAGAATCATTACCAGAGCCCAGAGGGGGGTAAACGTTCATATCTGCCCTTTGCACGCAGACCCCAAAAATTGCACACAGGACATAAACTTTGCATCCATCACTTTAAGTAAATGGGAGCTTTTTTAAAAACTCTCAATAGAATGACACCAAGGTCATTCTCCACCCAGAAGTGTCTCCCTCACTCCAAGTTTTTCCTTAATTCAAAGTCTATTAAGTGTAGTAAATAATACTCCGGTTTTAAGTCAAATTTAATCTGCCAGATTTTTTGTACATGGGCATGTATCTTTCCAGAAGATCTTTACTTTTTTGCATAACCACCAGGAATGATAGTAAGAGCCAATTTGGTCTCCACATTTCC